ATACGTTCGGGTGACGGTACGCAGAGCGAGTCCTTGAAGGAATGGTAGCAAGGGATATCCTTAATGTGGAAATGGCCAATCCGGACGAACAAGATACATCGCCCATTGTTATCAGGGAAACGCAGTTATATATGGCACTAACAATCGAGTTCCTACGCACGACAATAGAGCAGCAACTCGACAATAGGCACCAGAGACTGAATATTGCCATTGAACAAAACTTACTTCGAAACCATGAACTAGAGGCCGGACACATACACGAGCATGTAACTTCAATGTTGTCGAGAGATCAGCATAGAAAGACATTCGGATTTCTACCTCCTACCTCAACATATTGATAGCGAAAAACTCATCACTGCATGCTTTCTTTGATGTAGGCAGTGGCATTTAAAGTGATGTATTTGTTAGGCTTGGCTACAAGCTTATACAAGTGCATAAGAAGCCTTTGAGGCAGAGCAGACTTCTGCAGCACCAAAGGCAGCATTGTTCAATTCAAAGCCTTCACCGCCACGACAAGCCCCATGTGTTACTACCAGCGCTGCCAAGACATAATCTATATCATCATACAAGTCATAATTCATTATTTATTTACACGTTTCTCTGTTGATGGTTCGAAGTAATTTCATTTCAATCAAGTAAAATGTGCTCGGTCGTGTCAAGCAATATCTGCATCGAAAAGCAAAGCCAATACGAAAATTGTCTCATCGAGTATGTTGATGCAAATTAGAATGGCAACTTATTAAAATTATTCTCAAGCGTACAATAAAAATTTGCAGTTATCGAGTGAACAGCGCGGGGTGAGTGATAGTAGCAGGTTATCACTTAGGAGTTTCATTACATACAGCAAAAAAACGTGCATCATAACGATATACCATTGCCTTAAATTAAACGCTTACAAAGACAACACATGCAGTTATTAGATACATTTTTAATAGAAAATGATGACTCCACATTCACTCAAGGCACAACCAAAAGATTTGTGTATAAACTTCCAAACTTTAAACAAAGATAAATTGATTAAAGAACGCCAACAGAATTAATTGAACGACCCTATATAAATGTTTCATGAGTTCATGCAGTCGAATGCACGTTACGATTGACCGTGACTCAAAAAGTAGTATTTCGATTTCAATAAACTATTTTCAATGTAGTCCTTACTTCAAACTAAACGGTACAAAACGATATACGATATATTTGAGTATCCAAAGAATGTGAATGCAATTACGTGTTCTTTAGATGCTACAATATTTGGGTAAAACTTTTTGGATTTTTTCCAAGTCGCACAGTATCAGAACGCACAGGCGAGAATGAGATCCGCGTTAACTATAAATGGAATGGGAAATAAATTCAAGACAAGAGCGTCGCACAGCGCAGGAAACATCCATCACAATTTCCCTCGTCACGATCCGCCGTTGTCATTCGCTTCAAGTCACGTTCAATTGCAGAAGCTCTGTAACTTTAGGACAACAGTAACAGCTGATTGAGCCCGGAGAGCACACTGCTGATGTTACTGAGTCGGCGCCACATCATAATTGAAGAAAATAAGTATTCGATAGAACTCGAGCGTGTTATAAACACAACCGACGTCGGCAAAAGCTCGTGGCGCACTGCCGACCGACGCCAGACTTCGACCGCGCCAAAAGACCTCCCCTTGGTGGGCACAGGAAATGATAGCTTCCCCTCACACCCGAGCTCGAGCAGGCGCTCTTATTAACGTGAAAATGACCCAAATATTACAGTAATTCGATAGATAATAACAAGATTATTGTTTCAGTAGAAGAAACATCATCTAAAAATCTTCAGGCTGTTCAACGAAAATGAGTATTGATGAAACGCATCTCGGTATAGGCAACAGTAATAAAAACTCTGCACTCAGTCGTAAACACACAATTTTATTGTCGAGTCAGCTGTCTTAAAATTTGCTCAAAAAACGAAATTGCCACCTTTTTTGCACTATAGTCGTCTTTTTAATACACGCTAATAAACGTGGGTTACTTTTCGACAAAGACGTCTTACAGTCGTAAATATCGACTGATTTACTATCGACTTTTGCAAGATCCCCTCTACCTCTTCAATCTACAGAACAGCCCAGGAGTTGGATGCTCTAAAAAAACAGTACATCCCGAAAAAATTTTGGCTTCAGTCTAGAGGCAATTTCATGGAGATTCTTTGCGATCGATGCCTAACTGTTATTATGGCTTCACTTGACGTCAATATCTTATCTGTGAACGTCCCAACCGAAGAAACCTTAGAAATGATAGCGAAACGTGTCAACTCAAAGGAAAGTTTTCCGGCTCCATCAATCCCTAAAAATATTCTACTAGTTCTCCTCCGCCTTTGTACTTCATGCAGAATCGCCTTTCAGGACCTATAGATAGCTAAGTTTATCAGCAAATTAACTGCGTAGCCATGGACAGTCCTCTCGATCCGAAACCAAGTGCTCGAAACAAACTCGAAAACCGAGTACTGTTAAATGCACTGATCAAGCCTGATCTTTACTGTAAATATGTTGACGGCATTTTCGTCATTTTCCGGACGAAGATCACTTGATGGAGCTGCGTGTGGCTTTAGAACTCAATTCCATTTTGACGATCACTCCCGAATTTGGACAAGATCACACTTAGTAGTTCCTTGATATACTGGTGCAGGATGACAATAATTCATTCGTCTATGAAACTCATCGGAAACTTACAGACGTTGGAAAGGTCCTAAATGAAGGAAGCGAATGCCCGCAGCGCGGCAAAATCAGCACCATACGCGCCTTGATACATCGAGCGTATCAAACCTACACATCCGCTCGTAACTTGAAAACTGAACTTCGAACCTGCAAGCAACTTCTCGTAAATTTCAAATCGTCGAGCACAGCAACTAAAAGCTCTCGTCATCAAGGATGAGACCTACACCAGCATCATCATGCGGTGCCCGACACTACGAGACTGTCGATAGCAGAGGCTCTCATCATCAAGGATGAGGCCTGCACTAGCATCGTCATGCGGTGCCCCGACACTACGAGACTGTCGATAGCAGAGGCTTCATCATCAAGGTCGAGTTTCCTGCTATCAAACCACCGGATTTGTCGGGAAGTTGAAATTATTTTCGGATTTTGAACCTTATCTGAGATGCCCTTCGTATGTACTTATGTTGTTTGCAATTTTCAATTTTAAGCGTTGTAAATAACTCTTTACCTACTCAATTTTATTCCATAATCGATTTACCGCCTGATTTACCAAATAGAGAAAAGCAATAAGAAAATCGTCAATAAGATATACTGTCTGGTCTTCAATGAAACTTTTATTGAAACAGCTGCTGCTTAACAACACTGCTTAATGTAACCGGGTTACTTATTTATTTTTATCGCAAAATAAATCCTTACATTTCTTACTTATTCATAATTACATTATATCAATATATTTGTCATTTTTTAAGGTAATTATAGCTCTCCGTTTTTGTTTGGGTAAGGGAACTGACCTAGGAATCAGGTATGCCACACGGTCTTGGCATGACTGGCTGCAATACTCCGGGTTAGTCGTTGTAGCTCTTGTAAATATTATAAGTTGTTATGGAACCGGATTTCTCTAATCGCTGGTCTGCTTGTGTTAATGTCTACTCTCAATTTATTTCCTTGTTCAATTAATCAAGTTTTGTTCATGATGCGTTAATGTTCCGTTATTGAGTCGCGTATAGTTCAGTTGTTTATTAATTACTAATACACGAAAGGGAAAATCAACTCCAGTTATTTTACAAGGGAGACGAGATTCCGAGGCATACAAGCACACGCTATTTCACCAGCTTCTCGCTTTTGCCGATGAGAAACGTGAGGGATCAAATATTTTCCAGCAAGACAATGATTAGATTCACACTTCAAAGTCAGCAAACAAGTGGTTCCAAGAGCAGAATGAGAATATAACCCTGCATGTTGCCTTGGCCAGCGTTAGTCCTGACCTCAACCCCACTGAAAACCAATGGAGCATCATATGGCGGGGGATGTTTACCAAAATTAGTGCCAGTTACAATCTGTGAGTAACCTGAGCACGGCTATCCTTCGTTCCTGGGATGAAATTCCTCAAAAGACTCTGCATTATTTGGTCAATCGCATGGGGAGAAGATGCATCGAGGTAATTAAGGCGAAAGGAGGTAAGATTGCCTAATAAAACGAGTATATGGGATCCAAAAACGGGAAAACCTATCTTGGTCTTATAACCGTTTCCACCTAGGTTCTTCTAAATTTAATCATTTCTTCTCATATATTTAAAAATTTTTTTGGTATAGCGTTGAAACCGTTTTTAAACGTAGTTTAACCTCGTATAATCAGAATTAAGTATTTTTATGCAAGAAAAAATATTTAGAGAAAACTCTGTGGTCGTATAGCCATTTCCGCCACTGTATTCATCAATGCGTTGCGGGACGATTCATACGCAACGGTGTTATAATTCCATGCACATAATTTACTGTATTACAGGTATACATATTATTCAATGGCTTGATTGCCTCACATATTGAATCACTGCAAATAATAAAACCTATTATTTACAAAAGGCTAATAACTTTTTTAATTTCGTGGCACAGCTGATGGCACGACTAAAGTAAGGCGTCATCACCATCGGGCGCATGGTGTCAAGACGCGTATAAAGAAGCTCTCATCCAAACACATGAACGCCTGCATTAATCTTCAGGTTTTTTTCCCGACTAAAGCGACGGGCATCAATGTTGTTGCAGCTGTGCGCTACACGCGCCCAGAAACATCCGGCACAAGTTTTTAGCATGTAACTGCGCTGTACGTAAGAATACAATGCAGCCCTTCGCAGGCTTCGTAGATTTATGGTATAAAATATCGAGCATAAAAATAACATGCAAGTGAACCTATAAGCCAAGAGTTGATAAACTCTGAAATGAGGGAGCAAAGGTAAGCTCACGCAACAGCTTGTAGCAGAAAATCAATATAAATCGATTCACCAATCATTAAACATCGATCTTTGAAGCCAAAATGGCCCAGAGCTTACCCAGTTGATGGTGACGTCGGGTCCGTGGAGAACAACATCCGGTGGTGGACAACTGGCGATAGCGTTGAGCGTGTTCGAGGACAGCGCCTGAAGCTCGCGGGATGTGTTGGAGAGGCGAGACCACCACGACGCATGGAACGCTCGTCTTGGTGAAGGCGGTGTAGGAGGCATGCGCTTGAGTCCTGCTCGTGGCAGCGTCGAATTGGCCGCAAGAGTGCGCATAAGAGTGCAGTGTGTGCACACTGATGGCCGGCTGCCTGTGAAGTGATGACCCCAAGTGCTGGACTGAGGGCAAACTTCCACGCTCGACCGAGGGGCACCGTGCTTCTTGCTCAGTGAGGATATTCTGTGCAGGTAATCCTGAGAAGCATGCTTGTGGGATGACCGTAAGGGAGAGCAAGACAAGCGCGGTCCTTTGCTCTTCAGCTTGGATTTGAGATACAAATATGGTGATTTAGCTACTTCAGATATCGGGGAATGCTTGGGGAAAAATGGGCCTCTTGAACCAGGTAAACTCTGACGTTGTAAAGAACACTTGTAATTTCGAGGAAGTGTGTTAAAAGGATCAACATTAGATTCGTCCTTAGGATTTAAAGCGGTTTGCCAGTCATCTGTAAACTTTTCAGCACTTGGATCAAAGCCGTCATCTGGTGATCCAATAGGCGGATGTTCGGCACACGTCTGAAGATGAGACATTTCTATGCTCATCAGGCCTTTACTCTGAACACCACGTCTTTTGAAAGTTAGGCTTCCTCCCGGAGTGACAACTTTATGCCAGAAGCCAGCATCCCTGCAGTGGCCGAGACTGCGATGAAGGCTCAGATGTTCGTATGATGGTGAGTCTGTGTTCGTACGGTCGCTTAGCACTGGCTTCTTAGAATAACGCACAACGGGCGAAGTCAGAGGAGTTTGCTTACACTTGGGCGTACTGAGCCCGATAGAAATGTTTTCACTGAGACAAGGACCTCCGAACAGCGATGTTTCATGTCTCATGGCGCCGCTATCAAAGAAATACTTGAGTCTAATACTTGCATAAAGTTCAATTAATATTGACGAATTACAATTTCTTGCACTTATTCACGTTTTTCATTTCTATTGCTTACAATAAGTACGGCATCACCCAAAATTCATATTATATAAGACGGGTCCAATAAACATTCATAAGGCAAGCATTCCTGACTAGAAATCTGAAAATAAATTTATCGTGAAACAGTGAAAAAGAAAAAAACGATGAGGCATCATCAAGTAGTAATTTCTGGCCAAAACACTCGTCATTCATGAAACAGAAAGATTCTCATAGATAACGCAACACATGCCATCGACGAAGGCAACACGCATTTTTCAGAGTAAACAACAATAATGTAGAAACACCGGAAGATATTGAAATACCCATTTCAAAGCAGCGAGAAGTAAGTAATATCTAGGTTATTTATTATTGATTAATACGGAAAACGAGAAAACACCACAACACACGTGCACAGCGACAGCAACCCTAACCCCACGCATGGCGACCACATACTAACGCAAAAGTTTCCAGCAACACCTGGAGTGCTGTGCAGCTGCAGCTACTGAACATCCCTCCTCACACCACTCCTCTCAGCTTCTGCTGATGCTGAGTCTATTCAAACTTTTTTTTTCAGTTTATCGGTGAACGTAAGACCACGTTAAAAAAAGTGACCTCGCACGTAAATGAATTCGATGGATGAAGTAGAAGAAAATGAACATTTACTATTGGAAGTAATGCAAACTAATGTGCTAATGGTGTTTTTAAGTAAGCCATTTAGCCTACACACATCGTGTTCGGCTTTCATGAACAAAATCCAGCATCACTCAAACGCCTAACCTGTGACTAGCAAGTCTCTGGGATGCTAAAGCTATGACAAGGAACTAGGAAGTAAATGCTCAAAGAGGCTGCAACACACCCCCAGAACCCTCCCCAACGACATCTTCACTACCCAATCCATTCTCAAAGAATGCCCGACCGTTTCGCAGCGTCTGCCGCAGCTGCTGCACCAGCATGCTGCCTCCAAAACGAGTCGGCTAGCGGCCGTTGGCAGCGCGGTTTAAATGCCCCAGCTTGATGCAAGATTCAAATTTTTGGGCTAAACAAAGACGATATAAACAAGAAATTTGCGGCTGTTAATGGTTGATTCAATTATACGGGTTCAATTTTGTGAACTGATACTTTTAAGAAAATGCAAAAAAACTGGCGATGTTTAAAACTAAAAGAAACCAAACCAAGAGTACATTACTGAAAATTTTCAGATTAAAATTAACCTGAACAATATTATTACATAAAACGGTAATCGAAAAATCCTCATACAAAGAAAATGATTATTTTTACTTAATAAATCATTTTAGATACGGAAGGAAAATTATTATTCTACTAACGTTATAAGCCAATAAGCACTAATCGTTATTTTATTTCAAGAACATTCAATGATAACTATAACTCGAATTATTTGAGAGAGTAAATCTAATTTTTACGTTTGTTATTCTCTATCAACATAACGTTGGTATGGATGTGGTCGGTGCAAACACGACTATAAAGCGCAAGTATAGCTGCTTCGATGCCTCAAGCCTCCTGCCTTTTAGTAACGGATGTCGTCTATACTCGCTTCTGAGCCGTATTGTGTCGCATGTCGCGTCCACAGCTGCCTCTGACAGATCAATAGAATTCTTACGGAGTATTTTCCTCTATTCTGAGACCAGGCACTCGTGACACACGCATTCGATCCGTTGTTGCGAAATCGAAAATTTCGATGGGGCGTTGAAAACACTCAGTTTTTTAGAAAATCTGAAATGTCTGTGCGTGACCGAGAAACCAGCAACCTCGCTGGCATGGACGCTTGCTGAAATGGATATGATTTACAATGGATGTTGAGAACAGCCTTAAAAATTAAAAGAGCCTCTTTTCTTTAAACAAAATTGTGTTCAACTTGCGCAACTTCACAAGTAAAGCTTTAATGAAATTAAGCTAAATTAATTGCAATCATTACCGATGGTCACTGCCAAGTACGCATTAGGCGATAATTTAATATTGAGATGTGATCTGCTTTATGTTGACATAACAAGAGCAGGTGCCGAGGTTAAATTCAAGGAAAACAAACAAGTCGCACGATAGATCATTAAATGCATACATTAGCCAGGCGCTGCTTGCACATCAAGGACGTTACTGCGACTAAGGTTGATCAGCTGTCAAGCACCGCTGTTGATGTACGGGAAAAAAAGTTCCTGCAACACTACGGGCATGATGCAGCTGCAGCTACTGAACATCCCTCCTCACACCACTCCTCTCAGCTTCTGCTGATGCTGAGTCTATTCAAACTTTTTTTTTCAGTTTATCGGTGAACGTAAGACCACGTTAAAAAAAGTGACCTCGCACGTAAATGAATTCGATGGATGAAGTAGAAGAAAATGAACATTTACTATTGGAAGTAATGCAAACTAATGTGCTAATGGTGTTTTTAAGTAAGCCATTTAGCCTACACACATCGTGTTCGGCTTTCATGAACAAAATCCAGCATCACTCAAACGCCTAACCTGTGACTAGCAAGTCTCTGGGATGCTAAAGCTATGACAAGGAACTAGGAAGTAAATGCTCAAAGAGGCTGCAACACACCCCCAGAACCCTCCCCAACGACATCTTCACTACCCAATCCATTCTCAAAGAATGCCCGACCGTTCGCAGCGTCTGCCGCAGCTGCTGCACCAGCATGCTGCCTACAAAACGAGTCGGCTAGCGGCCGTTGGCAGCGCGGTTTAAATGCCCCAGCTTGATGCAAGATTCAAATTTTTGGGCTAAACAAAGACGATATAAACAAGAAATTTGCGGCTGTTAATGGTTGATTCAATTATACGGGTTCAATTTTGTGAACTGATACTTTTAAGAAAATGCAAAAAAACTGGCGATGTTTAAAACTAAAAGAAACCAAACCAAGAGTACATTACTGAAAATTTTCAGATTAAAATTAACCTGAACAATATTGCATCAAACGGGCATCGAAAAATCTTTATACAAGGAAAATGATTATTTTTACTTAATAATTCATTACAGACACGGAAGGAAAATTATTATTCTACTGACGTTATAAGCCAATAAGCACTACTCGTTATTTTATTTCAAGAACATTCAATGATAACTATAACTCGAATTATTTGAGAGAGTAAATCTAATTTTTACGTTTGTTATTTTCTATCAACATAACGTTGGGATGAATGTGGTCAGTGCAAACACGACTATAAAGCGCAAGTATAGCTGCTTCGATGCCTCAAGCCTCCTGCCTTTTAGTAACGGATGTCGTCTATACTCGCTTCTGAGCCGTATTGTGTCGCATGTCGCGTACACAGCTGCCTCTGACAGATCAATAGAATTCTTACGGAGTATTTTCCTCTATTCTGAGACCAGGCACTCATGACACACGCATTCGATCCGTTGTTGCGAAATCGAAAATTTCGATGGGGCGTTGAAAACACTCAGTTTTTTAGAAAATCTGAAATGTCTGTGCGTGACCGAGAAACCAGCAACCTCGCTGGTATGGACGAGTGCTGAAAGGGATATGATTTACAATGGATGTTGAGAACAGCCTTAAAAATTAAAAGAGCCTCTTTTCTTCAAACAAAATTGTGTTTAACTTGCGCGACTTCACAAGCAATATCTAAGTTTTAAGTAAATTAAGCGAAATTAATTGCAATCATTACCGATGGTCACTGCCAAGTACGCATTAGGCGATAATTTAATATTGAGATGTGATCTGCTTTATGTTGACATAACAAGAGCAGGTGCCGAGGTTAAATTCAAGGAAAACAAACAAGTCGCACGATAGATCATTAAATGCATACATTAGCCAGGCTCTGCTTGCACATCAAGGACGTTACTGCGACTAAGGTTGATCAGCTGTCAAGCACCGCTGTTGATGTACGGGAAAAAAAAGTTCCTGCAACACTACGGGCATGCAAGTGTGTCATGCCATGATCATCATGAAAAGTTCCTGCAACACTACGGGCATGTAAGTGCGCCCGACTGTGCCATGATCATCATGAAAAGTTCCTGCAACACTACGGGCATGCAAATGCGCCATGATCATCATGAAAAGTTCCTGCAACACTACGGGCATGCAAATGCGCCATGATCATCATGAAAAGTTCCTGCAACACTACGGGCATGCAAGTGTGCCACAATCACAATGAAAAGTTCCTGCAACACTACGGGCATGCAAGTGTGCCACAATCACAATGAAAAGTTCCTGCAACACTACGGGCATACAAGTGTGCCGTGACAATCGTAACAAATTTTTGCAACACTACATAGAGGTTTGCACGCGTGCCAAGACGATCATGTAATGTGACGCAAGCAAGCAAAAAAACTTTGAAGAAAGTATCGTCTACAAAATCAGAGCTACGAATAACGTTGGTAAACGGAGGCTTACGCGTATCAACTGTGTTTGAAATGCTCTTTTTTTTATCCGGTAGAAACGTATTTTGTATGGTGGAATAAATATCAATATAGACAAATCAATTATCAACCGTAGATAGAATTAATTAGAGTAACCTTGTCATCAAAAGTACCTGCACATTCGAAGCGCCGCTGCAGAAGAGATTTTTGTCACACAGATTACGTATATAATTTATTCGTCGCACACTATGCGAGAGTTACGCTAAGGGAGCCTTAGTGGATTCTTTGATGTAAAAATGGGTTTAGGTTTAGGGTTTAGAAAAATGTCTAGGCAAGTAGATATAGATAAATAACTACTCGAGGTGCACGGCGAAACTTACTTGGTTCTCTTAGCTGGTTCAATTTATTTTCGTAAACACCTAAGCTCTTAGGTTTTGTGCAAGCTTCATTAATCCATACAAAAAAGTGGTTCATACGATTCCATTAATTACCCAAAAGAACTGTGAGAGAAATTATTGCGAACAGTTTGACTTCATCGGTACAAAGTACCGTTGACGAATTAGTCAAACGAGAGAGTGAAGAGTCGCAGATAGATTTAAAATTACCAACAAAGAATGCACTATAAAAATTTGCATTCAAATCAAATAAAGATCAAACTCAGAGCTCACTGAAGTCTGAATTTATACTTTTGCGAAAAATTCTTGAAATATACCCTCACCAAAGTTTGTAGAAGTCGAGAAACACGAATTCTGAGGTCACAGATCAATGCAGTTATCGCAGGCTCAACAGAAGCTCGCACAGAGCACATCACAGTGAAAGCTTTGCAAAGGGTACAGGCTCCTTGTAACGCCTGCACTAAACGGGTAATAAGCTATCATAAATCTTACAAAACGAGCATACGAGCACGAGGGCACGGCAGCAACATTACTTCAATGAAAGACACGTGTGTTTACGCTATTGCTGAACAGCCCAAGCTTCACCCCACGTTTGACCTAAGAAAGTGCATAAAGCTCAGCTGCAGCAGCTCATTCTAGAGCTATGCAGCTGGTGGTTGTTACACGCATCTACTGGGAACAAGTGATTCTTTGAAGGAAGCATCAAGAGGACACGCAGTTAGCAACTAAAAGTGAACTACACTGGCATTATTAAATTACCAACGTCCTGTCACGCTACAGGTACGTGATATGCAAATTGTTAACAGTGTAGTTTAGGCAAGCGTAAAAACAGTACTTCACGCGTACTCAGTAATATAATTTGTTAATCGTAATTCTTGCACTAAATTTTTTATATTTCCAAGTAGATGCTATTTTGACCCCCCTATATCAATATCACCACCTATTGAACTTCAATGCCTCATTATAATCAAAGAGAACCACGGCAAAACATCAATATCAATATAATTATAATTAAAAATTGACATGTAAGCAAAGATTTATGCTCGGTTTCCTCTTAAGTGAATCATTCTCCTGATAAGCGGAATCATATGTTCAGACTCGAAATGTCCAGCAGCTTACGGTCCTGGTAAAATCCAGTAGCTATTTCCAAACCGTCAGTTTTAAAAGATCTCATTAATTAAGAGGCTGTTTCTAGGTCTCCTCACAGCATGTCACGAAAACTACAAGAATCGGCAACAGGCCATGTTCTAGTTCCGGGTTTCAGGCCGCAATGAAATGAACACCCGGCCTGCAGCCCAGAACTCTGCTACACATGTTCTGACAAGGAATGATCTGGGTTACCGATAGCTTGAAATACAATTAAAGTATAACAGTGAAATAGTCAATCTCTAGAGGCAGCGGATCATTTATTCTACGAGCTGAAGTGTTGGCTGCAGTTCAGGCTGCAATTAAAAAATAGAGAACAAAACCAACACAGAGCGAGGACGCAAGAGCCGAACAGATCGCCCTTCACGAGAGGGCCGAGGGCTTTGAGAGCCTAACGATGAGAGGTACTCGCGTTTATCACACTTCACAGCTGCCAGTCAACTAGTCAAATGAAAGATCAAATGCGAAATTTAACAATTACAATCAATGGTGTGAATGACGTAAAAATTGAGACGTGCGGAAATGATCAGGGAACACAGGTATTGATTTCATCGGTCGGTACACAAAGATACGAAAAATGTTACGTAGTCTGCGAGGTTTGACGCACTATTTCCAAATTTATGTTACTGCGTCAATGGATTTAAAATGTTTGACAACAATAAAAGACTTCGCTATCGTCACGGGAAAACCGAATGCGTCAATGAAATCGAGCGAGAAATGAAATTGCAAAGCTACGAAGTTCATAATGCAATTCAATATACTATTTAAGCTCAAGTCAGAGTTAATGCGATGCAAATTATTCCTGAGGATCGTGACAGAACAAGAAGTTGCGTGTGGTTAATGGTACGGGGAAGTATCGAATGCCAGGGACTCGAAAATCCGGACGAATCCGGTACAAAGTGGTACAATTGAATACCCAAACTCTGCACATTATTGAACTCTGCATTAAGCAAATGTACGTCAGATGAATATAAGCTTCTATTGGAAGCCACGCGATAGATGCATAGCAGAATGGCTTTATAGCGCGTGAAGTCGCAGGCGTTTTTGACTAAATTTGTCAGGCGTTCGTGAAGATATTTTTCCGAATGAATTGTAATAAATTGTTTCATACATGAAATAAATGAAAATTACAGGACTCGAGAGTTCCAGAACCATTAACAACGGCGATAGAAATTAGGCAAATCAGTACAAATTAATAGCCATAAAGAGACAATTCGAATAAAATTAGTTCTTACGCGAAACATTAGAATTAATTAAATTTTCCGTTTCTAGACAGAATTTATGCCATATATAACTGTAAAAACCACGTTAAATATCTCAAAACTACTTCCGAATGATAACGATATTTTGCTAAGATTGATACGGCACTACAATTTGAATTTAAAACGTGTTAAAATTTGTAAGGCATAGTCGGTTATTATATGGACTTGCATCCCACAAAACAAAAAAAAATACTTCACAGCGCGTTCTTGTAACAACGAGGGCTCTACAATGTTTCTTGGGAGCTAAGCTCGGCAAGCTACGAACAATAAGACAATCCCCAGTGAGACGAAAAAAATAGAGCACCATACACACAGAGCACCACAACGGTCGCGGCCACTTGACCACCAAGAAAACTTTCAAGTCGTTACGACTGCAACTAAGAACACGCAGCCAAAAGTGGAACATGGAAGAACTGCTTAGGAACCAAAGAGGCCAAGATTAAAATGCTGAGGAGCTTGGAAAGGAAATACCATTTTGTAAGAATAATGTTCTAGTCAAATCTCTCCTTAAAATATACGGCCATGAGGAGTGAGGCTTGGCAGTGACGATTCCTCAGAAATAGAATGAAATTAAATGAACACGTGCAATCAAAGCAGTACTTTGTATTAAATTGTGGAAAGATTCGAAAGATATCAGATCACCACAAATTGTCATTACGAAACTTAAAATTACCGGAATTCAGGATGATTAAAAATGAAAAATAGTGAATAGCCGACAAGAATCGACTAAGGGAAAAGTTGCATAGTTTTTCCTCATCCAAGAAATGTCTTAATCCGTGGAAACATACATAGCATAAAAGAGAAATATAGATACAACTAAAAAATAACTAAAATATTTCAGTTCTCTAACAAATTCTTCTCCCTAACATGGTAACGATTTCAAGGTTTCACCCACCAGGAGAACACAAGGAAATATGCATCATTCATGTTCAAACGAAGTTTAAATCGAGAGTCAATTCACAGTAAACTTTTAGCCATTAATATAAGAGTTGAAATAACACGACGTTCATCGTGTATACGCCCCCAAACAATCAAGCATTAGGTACGAAGTGTATTCCACTCAATATTTGGAAGAAGGTGAAGCAATGGCGAGTTCAAGGAGTAACCCTCGTAAAACCATCAGTAATCCGAGCACACTCTCTTCCCCGTGGGCTGGAGGAGCGGTCTGACACACACACGACGGAGGCTAACTCAAGACTGCGAGCAACGCGCTGCCTACGCCATTACTTCAATGCGGGTAGAGGACTGCGCTAAAAGATCCTGAGTGGAAGTAATACTTGATAAAAAAACGCCCTACATGTACAGGCCCCGTTGCCTCAAGGGGCTGACATCTAGGCTCAAAACATCCTCCTTTGTCAGAGCTGAACAAAAGTAAGGAATAAATATCAATGGAGATCTAGTTTCTTGTTGTCCAGAGCTGACAATAAATAATCGTTGTCTCATAGATTTGTTGAGGATGCTCGGGATGATGAGAAAATATTCACGAAACTCAGTGAAGTGGAACTTTAGGATCTTAATAAAAAAACCAACGTCAGTGCTGAACTTGAATGAATTATTGAAGTTTGTAGTGCTCGTTGCCGATAAAATTATTTCTGAATGCGGAGCACGTACGCTTAAAAATATACTTGCGGTCCATCACGGTCATTGTGATCGACGGGTTAGCTTACTCAATACAATCCTTGATGTTGAAGCGTTACAAATTACAATCCTTGAAGTTGATGTTTTACCAACAGAACAATTAGGCAACAATGTAGCAAAATTATTAATAAATCAGCAGAATTTCTGCTTAACTTGATGAAATAAACGAGCTTTGATTTTTCTAAGTTTCAACTATCGTCGTTTTCTGTGTAGTTCGAAAGTACGCACCTTCTATGACCTTTCGCAAAAAAAATAAATAAATAAAAGTAATAATAATAAACAGCGCTACAACAGCCAAATTAACAATTTTGTTTAATTATAAAGAAAATATTGTGCACCTGCTTTAAGAATTGATGTTTATGCGCGTCACACTATAATTCTGTAACATCAAACGTCTCGAAACGACCTAAAAGCATGTGGAGGTAGTCGCCGAGTCAGCACACGGTCAGCATCACGGAAGTGCACGCTATGTTTACTAAACTCAAACTTGACAATGACACAATTTATCAATCCCATGACCTGACACTGGCACTGAATAACTCAAACTGGACTAAAATAGCGCTGTTTTGTATATGCACACTTTAGAAATGTATTAAATTTATTAGATGTTTACATCAGCGTGCTTTGTAATTGGTCATGGGGAAAGATAATATTACTACATCTAATGAAGTGTTCCATCGTTTAGATGAAGATGCATGATGAATGACAACTAATAAAACCTCTTAAATAATATCCATCAAATTGAATTATCAGCTTACATGTAATACTATATACTTACGAAAGCTGTAAAAGCTTGCGATAAAGACAATTCCAGACCTCCTCGAAGACGTACCTGCACAAACAAAATTGGAAAAAAATTAGGAGACAATTAAGTTGACATACCGCAACTAATTTAACAAGCCAATTAAATATTTAGTTAGTTACGAATCGACTACGAGTTACTGCCGAATTTGTTATACTCAAAACATGACAGGATTTGAAATGTTAGAAAACGTTCTAATATTTTTCATTTCAAATGAAAGCCTAACTATCGATAGGAATTACACTAACTAACATAGTTTTCAGATTTAATAAAAAATGTGCAGAATAGCAAAGGCCGACTTCAACTTTGTTCATAGTACATGCAGACTATTGATTCTTAAAATTACTGGTTCACCGGAGTAATATTACCCCAAAAAAATCATTAGTGAAATCAATATTGAAACACATATTGATCTCTTTGCAACTATCGGTCAGGCAGCGTTCGCACGGAGATGCTCAATAGGCGTTCCCAAACTGTCATTCGAGTTCCTGATTTAGTTTTGAAGTGTTAGTTGACATTATTTTAAGAAACTAACTGCTCCTCACAACAGTCCAACAAAATGAGTCGAAATAATTATTCAAACTCTAATATCAGTCATCAATGTCTCGGGTCATGGCAAAGAGATGGCTTGTGTCTGGCTTTCGTTCCATTGTATAGGGAAGCATCACCGGTTAAGTACGAACAGGTTTGATCCAACCTCTACCTTTCTGGCTGGGCACCTCCCGCGGTCTGATGGTCCGCCCTCGAGGTCAAGACTGGAGCGATTTGAGGCATTCAAGAAGGGTCGCCGAAGCGCATGGTCGCAGTTTTGGCTGACACTCGTAGTTCTTCGTATGACAGACTTATCCTGCACCGGATCATACACAATTGTGTCAGAGTTTAAGCCACAGGCAACAGCAAGAGACCCACGGCGGCCCAGGTCGCGGCTTGTCAAGCTTTCCGTGCTATCAGTAGAAAGGCTTGCCAAGAGTTGTGTGTCGTCGCAAGGCTGAGTGAGCTTTCCTACCTCGCGCATACTTTTGGCGGTCCTAGAAATACTTTTTGGAAGTTTGGGGACATTTTTGGAGCTTTTCGCAGAGTTTGAACTAAACCAACGGCATCTGCCTGAAGAGCTAGGAACTGCTAAACTGAAAAGCGTCATGATAACTTTTAGACACGAATGCCTCGGACAGCCGCAAAAATGTAAATTTTAAAACACAATTTATCGAAAAATTTCCCAAATGGATCAGTTCTTTCAAAATTTGCAAAAAAAACAGCTAAACTATTGTTTTTTATTGCGTTATCGTCACACAATTGGGGATCAAACTCGACACATTGCACCGCTTGCATGTGCTCTGACAATGTAGACCAACACTGAGACAAATGAGAGAACAACAACGGACATTCACAGGATGTGCGCACGATAAGCTAGAGCTATGTTGACGCAGTCAAAGCTGGTAAGTATTGCAAGCGACCACTAAACCTATATCGCCATGTTAAACTATTTAAACGCGTAATTTAACTTGTTCACTCTATTAGTGCAGGTTCGGTAAGAAATTCAGAGACAAAGTATATTCGAAACTTGTACTGGGAAAGCCTTAAGCACACGCTGTCGAAAAAGCTTTATTTGATAAGCAAGACTAGCAGAAGTTTTGTTTGCACGCATAGGTTATGCAAGAATGGGCATGCGTAACTCGAGCCGATTATTGGATCCTGTTTTTATGAACACGAGATTAAAAGATTACTCTCATCGTGCATCGTGCACAGCTTAACGTCCCAGCATTACACTGGATTACTGGTATTACGTAAAATAGTATTAAACTTGAAATTGGATTGGATTAATAGTATTAAATTTGAAATTGGACTTGAAAGGCCATGACGAATGCATTGAGTCAATGACCTTTGCATATTTTACACACAAAGCCCGTAATTGCTTTAATATTTCGGTCGATGCAAAATTCCAATGAACAAGATTCAAAACCTTCGTATGAACATAAATTACTTTGAAAATTGGAGCAATAAATGAAACTCAATGAAACAAACAAGTCGATCTTTCCGGTAAGCAAAAGTAATCGAGAAGATATACGACAGACTTGACAAGCAGGTGTAAGTAACGATAACTGAATTAGGTCAACGGCGGCGCTCAGTGTACGCAACACGCGTCGTCGCATTGCCCGACCCGAGGCAAGGAAAGTGCCAAGTTTGAGCGGCATGTCCGAGGGGCGGACATCGTGAGGTTCGAGCTGAGGAGGGCTGGAGGAGTTCTAACAGTGGAGGCTCAGTTGTGTAGCTGCGGACCAAATAAGCACACTCACTTGAGTGCGTAAAGCTTAGAGTCACAGAGCTCAGTCTGCTTTTTTTGCTTTGAACGAAAATTAGACGGCACGTGGGACGATTACAATAATTTTAAAATTAAAACAAATTCAAAATAGGTCAAAATAGAGTTGAATCTTGGAATTGAATAAAAATAATCATATTAAAGCGCGAAATTTTTCATCAAACTTGTTAATTGAGGTGAGAGACATTATTTTTATTAGTTCATTCACGTACCTCTTCAATTGCAAACTGATAGAACAAAAAAATGAGTGTAGAGAAGTGCCATAGAATTCCCAAATTTGGTCTTGATCGAAAAAAAAGAAACACAAACAAATTTTAGTTAATATCACAGTCTCTTTTCCAATCGATCTTGGGGTAAAATGAACAACAAACAAATATCGTATCTCGTGGTAAGAATCGATACTTTAAAAACTTCTCTTGACTATCCCATCTAAGAAGCTAGAGCGCTAAGCTCATATTGCTGTTAAATATTTTTTCAACTCTACGAGAAACGCTCGTCAATTAATGAAAAATCGTTAGACTAATAAATAAGTATTTATAAACGTACCGACGATCGATTATTTGTTCGGGTAATGTGAGCAAAAGATTCATCAATATTAATACGCAGTGATTATACTTGTTGAATATTGTAATCGATTATACACATAGATATGCATGATATGGATATAAGCATGTAATTCAAATCCTGAATAGCAATTTTACGGGAGTACGAAGAGCTGCCTTGTTATGAAAGCGACATTAGGACGAGGGTTAAGCGCATTCACAGAAACAACAAACCCAACATTCGCCAGTATGTCCATGTAGTTTTCTATGATGGGAGCATAAAAACCTCGACACGATCGAAGACAACGCGGTTAGTAAGACACTTTTTTTCGTTCGCCGTTACACGGACGCTAACTAAATTATCAGTCAGGGACTGCAGTGACACGGCACTGAAATCACACGAAACGGGGTCTTTAGAAATTGCCTGCGCGCGACCTAAAACAGAGGAAAATTGCACTTAGGTGCTCCTATTGATGTTCATGCCGTGGCTAATTGATAACTCAAATATTTTTAATTCTCACAGGAAAAAATTTAATTCAGAGAAAACTTTGAAAATTTTCGAAGAAATGTTTTTGTAAGTTAAACAAACTGATTAAGTTAACAAAGGAATATTCCTTACTATATATGTACAGCCACGAAATTCGGAAATTCCGTACTAAACTTTCATGAGATTTGTAAACGGTGTAATGTAGTTTTGTCAAGCTCAACACAGCAATCTGTATCTTGTCCTTAGACGATATTTTTGAGGGATCCGTACCAAGTTTCATCGAACCAAAAAATGTAAAATTTACGGTCAACATCAGACTTCCCGTATTCAACCAGCGTGGCACACGAGACGTGATGTGCATTCTGTGATTATAGAGAGCAACTGGTCCGGGACGGACTATTAAAAAATAAACGCGGATCAATGTACAAGCACAACAAGCTGAGCTCAAGAAGTGACACTAAATAATTTACAACTGTAAATTATTTAAAATCATACAGACACGAAAACTGACGATAATAATTGGCCACCTCAAACTATTAAATCCCGACCTTTCGACAAACAAGACAGAATATTGGCTACGAGGTGTGGGATGGGGAAGCAACACTCATGGGATCTCACGACTATTACACTTTACTATAAATAAGAAAATGTTATCACTGACGCAAGTTCTTGGTCGAGAATGTCAGAATTGTTGCAGCTGTATTATAGAGCATCAAAGCTGTCACGAAACAACTGATGCAAGCTGCACTCCACATTTTCGATTTCAAGCAGAAATCGCAGGTGCGTCGTATGAAGCATGGAATGCACTCACGTGCCTTCTCCATTTACTATCTTGTATTTTCACTTGGACTCTAAAAATTGGCTCCAATTTCATCCTAACACAGTTTTTTCACAAATTTTACTGGCCATACATTGGAGAAAATGATCCTCATACAGAAAATCCTCCAGTGTACATTGAATTAATCAAAAATATTCTTAAAAATCGGTACCATTCGTTTGAAAAAAGATGTAGCTTGCTCACGGCCCACTACAGAAATACAGCGGTTACCCCCTGCACGATGCGTTCAGAAACACGACTGGTCGGTTGTTGAGGCGGGCGAGTGGAGGACGGGGGCTTGCACGCCGGACGCGAGCAGGACCGCGGTAGCCAGATGTCAAAATGAGAACAAACGGCTGCGAGTGTATGAGGTTTCGCTCCCTAAATTAGAAGCCCACAATACATTGTTGGCGGCAAAACAACTAGAATTTCAATGCCACTATATAACTGGCTCCTGAAACCTCGGCTTCTAATGGCTGCAGAGCGGTTTAATTTCGTTAAAAAACTATTGTTAGCAAACTATCATACTACAGGGTGCATGTAAAAAGCTATCAATAAAGTGCATGTAATCATATCCAACTCTTGGTGTAACCACGTTAGTCAGACGTCAGGTATAAATTTTTCTGCTGCAAGGCGTTTTCCCCCTTTCACAGGAAAAATATAATTTTTTGCGTTCTTATTGGACCATGACATTTCTGCAAGTAAGGCTGTACAGCTATCAATTCCGCTTCACTTTTTTGTGGTTCTAAATACAGGAGTAAGTACAAAAGGCCCGGTTACGCCTTCAGTTAAAGGGGTTGTACAAAATAAGGGAAACGCTTGACATTTTGATATCGTAATTTTTGAACATGTTATATCAATGAAAAC